ATTTTTCGATTTTTCAATTTTTCGAGTTCCCACATTTAATATTTTTCAATTTTTCTATTTTTTAATATTACCATGTTCAAATTTTTAAATTTTTTAATCCAATTTTTGGATTTTCTAATTTTTGGATTTCTCGACTTTCCAACATTTCAACTTTGGGAATCTTCCAATTTCTGGATTTTTCAATTTTTCAAAAAATCAAAAATTCAAACAAATCAAATATTTCCAAATTATCAAAAATAACCAGACGTCAACATTCTTAAAGTTTTTTTCGATATATTCATTTTTCGCGATTTTGTATTTTATATTTTTCGGTTTCATCAATTTTCATTACTTTGATTGTTCAATTTTGCAGTTTTTCGGATTTTTAAAATTTTCAATTTTTGGATTTTTCCATTTTTCGGTTTCACGACTGATAGAGATTTCGATGTCTCGATTGCTAAATTTGCCGATTTTTCCATTGTTATATCTTTCAATTTTTCGATCTTTTTTTGCAATTTTTAAATTTTTAATGTTTAATTTTTCGTTTGGGCTATTTCGATTTTTCAATGTTTCAAGTTTTCAATCACTCTATTTTTCGACTTTTCAATTTTTCGAGTTCCTACATTTTATATTTTTCAATTTTTCTATATTTTAATGTTACCATGTCCAAATTTTTAAATTTTTTAGTCCAATTTTTCGATTTTCTAATTTTTGGATTTCTCGACTTTCCAACATTTCAATTTTGGGAATCTTCCAATTTCTGGATTTTTCAATTTTTCAAAAAATCAAAAATTCAAACAAATCAAATATTTCCAAATTGTCAAAAATAACAAGACGTCAACATTCTTAAAGTTTTTTTCGATATATTAATTTTTCGATACTTTGTATTTTCTATTTTTCGGTTTCATCAATTTTCATTACTTTGATTGTTCAATTTTGCAGTTTTTCCGATTTTAAAAAATTTTCAATTTTTGGATTTTTCCATTTTTCGGTTTCTCGATTGATAGAGATTTCGATGTTTCGATTGCTAAATTTTCCGATTTTTCCATTGTTATATCTTTCAATTTTTCGATCTTTCTTAGCAATTTTTAATTTTTTAATGTTTAATTTTTCGTTTGGGCTATTTCGATTTTTCAATATTTCAAGTTTTCAATCACTCTATTTTTCGATTTTTCAATTTTTCGAGTTCCCGCATTTTATATTTTTCAATTTTTCTATTTTTTAATATTACCATGTCCAAACTTTTAGATTTTTTTAATCCAGTTCGATTTTCTAATTTTTGGATTTCTCGACTTTCCAACATTTCAATTTTGGGAATCTTCCAATTTCCGGATTTTTCAATTTTTCAAAAAATCTAATATTCAAACAAATCAAATATTTCCAAATTGTCAAAAATAACAAGACGTCAACATTCTTAAAGTTTGTTTTGATATATAAAATTTTTCGATATTTTGTATTTTATATTTTTCGGTTTCATCAATTTTCATTACTTTGATTGTTCAATTTTGCAGTTTTTCGGATTTTTAAAATTTTCAATTTTTGGATTTTTCCATTTTTCTGTTTCTCGATTGATAGAGATGTCGATGTTTCGATTGCTAAATTTGCTGATTTTTCTATTGTTATATCTTTCAATTTTTCGATTTTTTTTGCAATTTTTTAATGTTTAATTTTTCGTTTGGGCTATTTCGATTTTTCAATGTTTCAAGTTTTCAATCACTCTATTTTTCGATTTTTCAATTTTTCGAGTTCCCACATTTTATATTTTTCAATTTTGCTATTTTTTAATATTACCATGTCCAAATTTTTAAATTTTTAATCCAATTTTTCGATTTTCTAATTTTTCGATTTCTCGACTTCCAACATTTCAATTTTGTGAATTTTCCAATTTCTGGATTTTTTTAATTTTTCAAAAAATCAAAAATTCAAACAAATCAAATATTTCAAAAATATCAAAAATAACAAGACGTCAACATTCTTAAAGTTTTTTTCGTTATATTAATTTTTCGATATTTTGTGTTTTACATTTTTCGGTTTCATCAATTTTCATTACTTTGATTGTTCAATTTTGCGGTTTTTCGGATTTTTAAATTTTTAAATTTTTGGATTTTTCCATTTTTCGGGGTCTCGATTGACAGAGATTTCGAAGTTTCGATTGCTAAATTTGCCGATTTTCCATTCAATTTTTCGATCTTTTTTTGCAAATTTTAATTTTTTAATGTTTAATTTTTCGTTTGGGCTATTTCGATTTTTCAATGTTTCAAGTTTTCAATAACTCTATTTTTCGATTTTTCAATTTTTCGAGTTCCCACATTTTATATTTTTCTATTTTTCTATTTTTTAATATTACCATCTCCAAATTTTTAAATTTTTTCGTCCAATTTTTCGATTTTCTAATTTTTGGATTTCTCGACTTTGCAACATTTCAACTTTGGGAATCTTCCAATTTCTGGATTTTTCAATTTTTCAAAAAATCAAAAATTCAAACAAATCAAATATTTCCAAATTGTCAAAAATAACAAGATGTCAACATTCTCAAAGTTTTTTTCGATATATTAATTTTTCGATATTGTGTATTTTTCATCAATTTGTAGTACTATGATTGTTCAATATTTTAATTTTTAGAATTTTCCATTTTTCTGTTTCTCGATTGATAGAGATTTCGATGTTTCGACTTTCCATTGTTATATCTTCCAATTTTTCGATATTTTATTGCAAAAATAGCGTTTTTTTGACCAAAAACTTCCAAAAGAGGGAGTACGTCGAAAAATTCCAGAACCGTTAAAATGACAAAATTATGTATATTAAAAAAAAAAGGGAACATATAAGCCCCGCCCACCCGCCCCATCTTAATCGTGATGATTTTTTTATTCGTCGTAAGCCGGGAGGCGGAGCTTAATTGTAAAATCCTTATTTTTCTACGAGAAATTACTATGTGGAACGAGTTCTTATCTTATCCTTTGTTCAAAGAAAATTACATGTATTAAGTAAAAAAGAAAGCCAAAAAATAAGCCCCATCCATCTATCTCTATCTCAATCGTGATGAAATTTTCATTGGTTGTCAGATCAAGGGGTGGAATTTAATTGCTAAATCCATATTTGTCTAAAAAAGCAAAATATAAGCCCCGCCCATCCACCCATCCTATCTCACTTGTGATGATTTTTTGATTCGTCGTGAGTCAAAGGGGCAGAAATTAATGCTTAATTACAAAATCCTTACTTCTCTACAAGAAATAACCCTTTTGGTCGGACAACGAATGAACAGTTGATCACAATTGAGGTTGGGGCGGGTGGGTGGGGTTTATTTTTTCTGCCGATGATTTAGAAAAATATCTAATTTGTTATGCAAATTTTAAATAACGATTCCACAATTTAAACTGCACACTACACCGCGGAAACCACGACGATGTTACGCCTGTATTCCAGACCAGACGCCAGCCTTAAAATAATTAATTTCTCCCGACGTTTATTTTACATTTTTCATTATAAGTTGCATCAGTCTGAATACACGATCAGATCTTAGTGCGCGCAGCGCAGATTAAACCCCTGGCTCAAGCCGTGCAATTTTAAAATTAATTAAACTCTACCTTCACCCAAGTCATACTTAAAACGTTTCTAAGCTGGTCACGGAGCACAAGATCAGGTCCTTAAAACGACGATCCGATTTAATCCTCTTTAAACAGCAAAGGAGAGGTGAAAACGTAAAACGGAAAATTTAAAACGATTATTTGAACAGGACTTGACACTGTTCACGTTTAGGGAGCAAACTTTCCCTGAGTCGAACTATAAAGGCGATTAAATTAATTTTTAATTCTTCTTTCGCAGGAAAAGTGGAAAAATACTTCCGGAGGGCCGGAGAGGGTCATTAGCTGCAGGATTGTCCTCGTAATGGGGGAATTAGCGAGAATGGAGGGAGTTTTCACTTTTATTTTAGTCGGAGGTCGTGACTGACAGGTGCGTGTAATGTTGGTTGCCTATTCTAAAATTTAGTTTTCGCGCTTCCTCAAAACTAATTTCATTTTGTGTTAAAAACGCGTTAAGAAAAATTAATATCCGGCCCCAATTTATTGAAAAGTGTGACCCACATTCGCCTGGGTGTGCTCTTCGATATAAACTTCATAAGGCGATTTTACAGCCTCGTTTTCTCCTTTACAACGTTTCCCCTTCGTTTATTGTTATTACAGGCCTGAAACGGCGTTGACTGATTTAATCATCAATCAAGAGCTCACTTTTAAGATTAATTCGCGTCTTATCAACAACCCATCGCCTCGTCTCCGGCCAATATTTCCACTTATTACACACTTTTTTCTATACAGTCAATAATTCGCTGTTACAGCCTTTTCGGGCGTCTTTTTATGCCCTCGACTAAAATGGAATTGACGAAAGGGGGAATAAAACCCTAGATAAGACCATATTTTATATTAGTATTGCTTCAGGAGGGTCGAAAGCAAAAAATTTTTATGAAGGTTTAACATCGCTTTGGAGCGTCTTTGTCGTCACGTGACTTATGTGCCACATTTTCCTTTTACTGTTCTGTTTATCATATCTCGGAATTAAGTCGACTGTCACGTGAGTGAATTTATTTTATTGGAGGGGTGTTTTTCGTGTAGCGCTCGAAAAAATTCCCAGTGATAAAGAAAGTGGGTTCTTATCGGATTAAAGGTTATAAAAGGGGTGGGTCTGGGAAGTGTTAAATTTATTAAGACGGTTTCGGTGCGGCCATGTTTAACGAATGAACGTCGGCGGCTAGACGTACATTCACCCTTACGTTGGGGGTAAGGTCTATTATTTATTATTATACAACCATTACAGGGGCTAATCCGATTGAATAATTAATTTAATTAATAACTCGGACACCGTTTTCGCTTTTTTATTGGTCTTTCAATGTACAGTTGTAAACCGACGCGATCCATTAATTTTTCCACCATCGATCCTAATTCCTGTTCTCTAATTGCTGCCCCAATTAGAGGATCGCCCACCCTAATTTCCCACACAAAAATAATGAAACCGAGCTTAAAGTTTACCTCATTATCGGCCTCCGTCGAGCCGTTGGTCTGCTGTTTCCCTGCTGGTGAATCCTGTAATTTAGGCGAGTTTTCATCCCCTTCATCCATGTTATCGTCAGTGGGCTTATCCTCTTTCTCGCATTCTACTTCCATGCCGTTTGTGACCGTCTCACCGAACGAAACATGTGTCGGTTCTCGCGGCTCACCTAAAGCAAATCGCATTAGGTAATTTTTCACAATGGGGAAAATTCGGGATTGTTGGTGGAGATAACAAAAAGTGAGTCCAGTCCGTTCGATCGACGTGTTGAAATTTGTGGTGTTGGGGTTGAAAATGGGGTGATTGGTGTGAAGAAAGGTCTCTGGGTAGAAGGTAGGGGCCTAATGGCAACTAGTCATCCATAAAGGGGTCCTTTCAATGTTGAGAGCGGTGACCTGATGATTGTCAAGTAATGGCGGTTCAGGTCAGGCGGGCCAGGTCAGGTCAGGTCAGGTCTAGTCAGGTAAAGTCGGGTCTGAACAGGTCAGGTCAGGTCAGGTGAAGTCTTACAGAACAATGTCTGCGCTCTTATTCTAAGAGCGTGTTTTTTAAATCTACAGAGTTATTGTGATTAATTGAACCCAAATAACTTCTCCAAGACTCTGTCTTGAATATTTCTGAAACTATATTTCAAAAAAAGAACGTTTAGAATGCGAGCGCAGCGAGTACGTTTAGGTATAATTTAAACAATTTTTCATTGGTGTCCCTGAGAAGCTAAATTACTACGAAAAATTTTTTTGTGACTAAAATTTTGACAATGTGGAACTGAAATAACGAGAGAATGTTTTAGTGCCTAAAAAATAAATCTTGACTATTAAAATTGGAGAGACCTAGGTGAATTTGTCAGATTCTACTTAATGGCTTTCTATCAGTTTTTTATTAATCAAATTAAGAACCTCATTTTTTAGTTTTGCTTATTCAGGTTCACTCAAAAAAATTAATGGATCCGTCAATTTATTTTACTGAATAAATCAAGAATTGCAAAACTGCATACTTTGAAATCTTGCAGACGTTTTAAAGTTATCGTAACCATGATAAATTGTTAATCAAAATGTATCTGTTTATTCCGCCCAAAAAATTGATAACGTCATCTGAAAAAATGTGCAAAATATGATGAGTTTTTACTTGTGATTTATTATTGCATTCATATTTTTCAGATTTGCTTAAACTGGTAGCTCAAAAAAATTAATAAATGAGTCAATTTATTTTATCGATTAAAACAGGAACGGCTCACTCCATTTTCCTAGAAAATGTTGGGAATACAATACTGTTATTTTTCAATTTCCATTTTATACTAAATAAAATAAGTCAGTTCTAGTTTTCCGAGTAAGCAGTAGCCATGCCCACCGACCCCTTCTTCGTTCCAGTGACTACTCTTAAGGCTCGCGTCTGGATCGGTTTCGCCCTATACTAAATACATTGAAAACATCGTCGTGGTTTCCGGAGTTGCATTTTAAAAATACGGGATATATCGCTTTAAAAAAATTATATTTCGAATTAACAAACTTGAGTCCAGGGGACCTCCATATTTATATTCATATCTAGTCCGCAGTTTTTACAAAAAAAAATTATAAAGTTGACCAATTTTTACACCAGATTTAACCGGTACATTGATGCATTTTTTGAAGAAGTGCTGAAGTGATTTGCATTCTGAGATAGGAGGTCCCCTGGGGAAAAGTGTCAGCTTTCTTTTGATACCATTTATAATCCTAAAAAATTCACGACTGAGGTAAATAACTCTCGAAAAGACAGAATCTGTTGAAACGAGAAATCGCCATTAAACGCGCTATGATGCCGTAGCAGAATACAGGTTTACTTAGATTCTGGTTTGGTTGCAGACTTAATTTAATGTGGACCTTGTCCACCAGGGGGAGCTGTTTTTACTCAGCGATTTATCGGAATAAAATTTTGATATCGCATTTCCGATTTTACAATACCATTTCGGTTTTTAGAAGTGACAAAATAACGTATCCATCCAGTGGCGTAACAATCAAACTGCGGGCCTGTGTTCTACAACACTGTGGGACCCCTAATGAACAGCGAAATAAAAATATTTAACAATACGAGTATAATGAGTAAAGAATGAGTAGATTGCAATTAGCGCTAACGTTTTATTAAAATCATTCTACCTGAAACATTGAATTAAAAAAATAAAATACAATAATTACCTGAAGAAATACAATTAAAATATATACAATATTAGAAACTAGCCGACCCGCCAAACGTTGTTTTGGCATTTCTAGTGAACATTTTGGTACACAGTTAAATAAAAAATTAAATTAAAATAAATACATAAAAATTTATCGTACGACAATGATTATATTCAATGGTCATCTTGCAACCCTATTGCGCATCTGTGGATGAAAGCAAAGATACTCATATCGTTATTAAAAAATGGGGGTTGGTGGTAGAAGGGTCAAAATTTAGGGTTATATGTATTTTTTGATGGCAAATCTTAAAAAAATAAAAATAAAAAATGTCTAAAAAATAAAAAAAGTTTGGTGGGTCACCCTTATCACTTAGGGGTTTAAAAAATAGTTTACTAGACCTACCGAATATACACAAAAAAATTCATAAAAATCGGTCAAGGCGTTTCGGAGGAGATTGGTTACAAACACTGTGACACCAGAATTTTATATTAGATTATTTTAGAAAAAAATTCTTTACCATAAAAAAGGTTATACTGAGTCGACCTTAAAAGATTGACGTATGCTGTCGCGGACTTTTTTTAGAACTTTTAGAAGGGAACAATTCCATCATACATGATTTTTATGTAACTTTAACCGTTTAATACGCAGCGTAAGCAACGGAAGCTGTCAAAGGACGAATAATTTTCCCGTTTTCCGATATTTTTTCATTCTATAATAATTTCCCAGTCCAGTTTTTTTTCTACTTAAAAAATTAGTTGTAACATACGTCAGATATATTTTATTATTCCAAAAAAGCACCACAAGTACAAAATTAAAATAGTTTTGAAAATACGAAAATTTTCATAAAACACAACTGAAACTGATTTTTTTTTCACGTTTTATTACAGCATGAAGTTTCACTGTAGAACTGAGGACAAAATTTAAGTATTTTGTTGTCTTGCATCATAAATTAGTCATACTTTTGTCGGATAAAGATTGGTAATTTACTACATGGGGTGTTAGATTTGCTACAATGGGATTGCGACACTGCGACAGGTTTATTACAAACAGATGCTGCTGCATTTTCGACCGCCGGTGCCTGTCGCTAAAACCCGAGTTTATTGAGTCTATGATATTGAATCTTTAGTTGATTGTTTATTTTTTTCAACATTTTCTACAATTTCAGAAATTATGGATTCAATAAACTTATGTGTTTTTTTACTGTTTGTACAATTTTTTGTACTAATTGCACGTTTTGTTTTTTTTTTGCGTAGATAAAATTTGTCACGAGCCATTATTATAAAATAAGGTGTAACAACAAAAATATAGTGCAAATAATTTGTAAGTGGACGACCGAAATTATGTTTTAGGCAGACACTGACAAAGTGGTAGTAACATTGGCAACTGTTCCAAAACTGAGTTTTGCCGAAAAAAGGTACTTTACGTGCATTTCAAACAATTACATTCATAGGACTCTACCATTTCTACCAGCCAGATGTAAACAACCACCTACAATAAATTTAACAACTTTTGTTTGTCACCGGAAGTGGGACTGGTATTGCGGACTGAAATTATCCCTTGTACACGCTTTCGACTCCATTTGAGTAACAATTTTTTTCCGAATTTAAAATTACGTTCAAGCTGTTGTTCAAGCCTAAAATTTAAAATTAAATCTTTCCGAAACAGTATGACAAATATGTAGTGAACAAAAAATATTTACACCTTATACAAAAAAATGAGGTTTACGATGCGCAAGCATATGATATACGTAAAATTAAAAGTGCAAGTCAAAGTTAATATGCATAAAAAATAGCAGCTGCTTCTATTAAAAATTTAAAATTAATTATTTAAATCCTTACAAAACGATATACTAACAAACAGTTTAAGCAAAGTCAAATTTTTAAACAAACTGCCTTCTGCCATGCAGTTAGCCGCCAAAATAATTAACATGAATATTTTAGTACTTACATAAAAAACCACCGTTGAATGCTTAGAATTACTTGCACACAACGTACTAATGATTTACGTTGAAGAAAGTAAAAAATTTTGCTATGTGGCTAATAGCTTCAAGGACACGTTATTATTCATTTTCAAACGATTGCGGCTAATAATTTTAACAATTTATTGTTATTTACTTGGTAAATATATTTTTATTTTTATTACTATTGTTTTGTTGCAAACGATAAAGTAAATAACAAAACCAAACTCTTATACATTATTAAGTTTAAGAAAAATTTTCCGCCAAAAATATTCTATTTGGAATGAATGGGCATGTCCGACAGTGCAGATAGTAGGAAAATAATAAAAATATTTACTTATACCGGAAATATTGTTAATTCTCTTATTTCAAGTTTGGCCTACAAATGTGGAAAATCCCTCCCGTTCGTAAATAGTACCTTGGCGCGACCAATTTTTGCTTTACATGATGTTCCTCTAATTCAGACAAACAACACATCCTTGATAGGAATAAATCACATATCTACAGATAATTCCCCGACAGTAGGAGGTACTTTAATATTTACATATATTTAATATATTTACCGAAAACAATTTAAGTACGGAAACAAAATAAATAACTGGAAAGAATTAACTGTAGCCAAAATAGGAAAATGAATCAGTGAGTTTTACATCTTTCCGGTTTTGAACGGTCAAGGGTAAATTCAGGTACCCGGGTTTTGTTTGCAACTATTATGGCTAGACAGGCACTGCGGCTTGTGTACTAAAACTTATTTCCGTACAGTAAAATGTAGAATTCTACGGATCGGTGCTGCATTTATTCACATTTTAGCAATTCACTAACAGGAGGCAGCATCTCCCGGGTCGTTTTATTCTCACTTTGACCAGGCAGATATTTTGCCTCCAGACGGCACCCTTAATATTGTACAGTCCGATCTTAGCAAGTTTTATGCCCGCCCACTCACCCTTTTTTTTCTTCGAGGATATGTCATTTACTAAAATTAATCTTACCTTAACAAGTACTAGCCCCACCCACCCGCCCTCTATTTTCTTAGAGGGTATGTCTTTGCCACAATCAGTCTTGTCTTACCAGGTACTAGCCCCACTCACCCACCCCCTCTCTTTGTGAGTTTGAGTTTAAGACTGATTTTGGCAAATAACATATCCCCTTAAAAAAGAGAGGGTGGGTGGGCGGGGCTAGTACTTGCTAAGATAAAACTGATTTTCGTAAATCATATACCCTCTAAGAAAAAAGAGGGTGGGTGGGTGGGGCTAATACCTGCTAAGTTAAAACTGATGAAATGAAATACCCTTTAAAAAAAGAGAAGAAATAATCTCGGGGGTCTCTGGTGTTTTCTTTGTGAAATTATTTGAAAAGATGTTGAGACCACTAGATGTTTTGCTTTTGAAAGAGTTTGTAAGAATCTTGGGATTCCTATATATATTTTTTTAATATGAAACAATCTTCGAGACTCCTTGTGTTTTGTTTTTGAAAAAAATTTAAAAAGACCTTGGAGTCTCCTTTTGCTTCTTTTTTCTTTCAGAATGTGAAAAATCTTGGGGATTCTATTTTTACAAGAATTTGAATGTCTTATGAGCTCTTTGTATTTAATTCTTTTTGGAAGAGTTTGAAGGAATCTTGAGGTTTCTTAATGTTTTTTTAGGACTTCAGGTGCTTTGTTTTCTAAAGAGTTTTTTTCTAAGAATGTGAAAGGATCTTGGGGTCACATAATGTTTTTTTACGTCAAGGACCCGACGATCTTCTTGATGGTTCTATTTTTGAAAGAAATTGAAATAATCTCGGTGGTCCTTGATGTTTTGTTTCTGAAAGAGTTTGGAAAGATCGTGAGGCCTCCTAATGTTTTGCTTTTGAAAGAGTTTGAAAGAATCTTGGGATCCCGTAGTGTTTTTTTATGTGAAACAATTTTCGGGAATCTTGCTTTATTTTTGAAAAAAATTGAAAAATGATCTTGAGGGCTCCTGGTGTTTTGTTTTTGAAAGAGTGTGAAAGAATTTTAGAGGCCCCTAAGCTATTTTTTAAGATTGTGATTTTTAAGCTTCTTGTATCTTATTTTTGAAGGAATTTCGAACTATCTTGAAGGCTTTTTTTTTTTTGTTTTTAGAGAATTTGAAAGAATCTTTGTTTTAAGAATATGAAAGGATCTTGTGGGCTGCGGCAATTTTATTTCAAATTGATATTTTCTTTTTGAAAGAGTGAAAGGTCCTTGATTTTTTGTTTTTTAATGTGAGAGAATCTTGAGGACACTTTTTGCAATTTTTTTAAGAATATGAAAAAATCTTGAGATCATATGGTGTTTTTTTATGTCAAGGATCCTTGAAGGTACTTGATTTTATTTTTTAAAGAACTTGAAATAACCTCGGGAATCCCCGATGCTTGGTTTTTGAAAGCATTTGAAAAGATCTTGACGGACCCTGGTGTTTTGCTTTTAATAGAGTTTGGAAGAATCTTGGGATTCCTTATGTTTTTTTTTTTGCCAAAATCAGTTTTATATTAACAAATACTAGCCCCGCCCACCCACCCCCCTATTCTTAAAGGGTATGTCATGTGCTAAAATCGGTCTTAAACTCAAACTTAAGAACGACAAGGTGGGTGGGGGGGCTAGTAGCTGGTAAGAAAAAACTGATTTTGGCAAATCACATACCCTCTAAGAAAAGAGAGGGCGGGTGGGTGGGGCCACTAGCTGCTAATACCTTTCTTCTCATAGTGTTTTGTGTTTGAAAGAGTTTGAAAAATTTTTAGGAAAAAAGCATTGTTTTTTTTCTGTACGAATCGTTTACCTGACCTGTTGGAATTATTATATCTGGTTCTTCTTACAAAGCGAATTTTATTTAACCCAGTAGGGAATTAAAATCTAAAGCGAATTTAGCACATAATTTGTAAGGAAACCATTATACATAATTTTGAGGTTCTAGGTATTCCTGTTTGGGAAGAATTTGGAAATGTTTTGGAGCCTCTAGTGTCTTTTTTAATATTAATTTATAATTAAATTTCTTAGAGGATACGTCATTTGCTAAAATCAGTCATATTTTAGCAGGTACTAGCCCCACCCACCCTTCCACCCCTTCTCTCTTTTAGAACGAATCTCATTTGCCAAAATCAGTTGTATCTTAGAAGGTACTAGCCCCACCCACCCTCCCTCTGTTTTCTTAGAAGGTATGTGATTTGCCAAAGTAAGCTTTACTTTAGCAGATACCTACCTGAACGTGCTCCCTGGACTGGCATTCTGAGTATTTTTTTTTTATTTAATTATTTCGTGTTAGAAAAACACTTACGAAAGAAAGATCACAAAGTTACTTAATTTTTGTTGTTCTGGTTGTTTCAGCCTCACATTTTTAAAATTCTAATAACAAAAAAATGTTTCTTCATAATTTAGCTTCTCAGGGACATCATGGAAAAATTGTTTAAATTATACCTGAACGTGCTCGCTGCGCTCGCATTCTAAGCGTTCTTATTTTGAAATTTAGTCTCAGAAATATTCAAGAAAAAGTCTAATTAGAGAGTCTATTTGGGTTCAATTGGAATGCGAGCTCAGCGAGCACGTTCCGGCAGCTGGGGTTTCTCCAACTTTAATATTTACAAACATTTTCAAGATTTACTTTTTTTTAGACACTAAAAAATTCTCTTAAATAATTTAGCTTCTCAAGGGCGCAAATGAGTATTTTTTTAAATTACACCTGAACGTGCTCGCTGCGCTCGCATTTTAAATGTGTATTTTGAGATTTATTTTTACAATTGAACCCAAACAATAACTCTAATTAGACTCTTTCTGGGATATTTCTAAGACAATCTGAAAAAAAGAACGTTCAGAACGCGAGCGCAGCGAGCACGTTCAGGTATAATTTAAAAAAATGTCCCTAGTTGTCCCCGAGAAGCTATATTATTATGAAAAATTTTTTGTTATTAAAAAATTGTTTTTTTTTTTAATTATTCGTCTGTGTACTGAGGAAGTTAAATTATTTACGAAAGAATTATTTAGTCTCAAAAAAAAATCTTGACAACCTTTATGACTATTGAAATTGGAGAAATTCTAGCTACCTGAGCGTGCTCGCTGCGCCCGCATTCAAAATGTGTATTTTTTAAAAACTAGTGATTTATTATTACAACTAAACAACTTCTGTAAGAGTCTTTATGGATTTTTTTAAGACTAAACTTAAAAAAAACTTTAAAATGTGAGCACAGCGAGCACCTTCAGGTATAATTTAAAAAAAATTCTCTTGGTGTCCCTGAGAAGCTATATTATTATGATAAATTTTTTGTTATTTAAAAATTTTTTTTTTTTAATTATTCGTCTGTGTACTGAGAAAGCTAAATTATTTACGAGAGAATTATTTAGTCTCAAAAAAAAACTTGTTCCTTTTTTGCTTAATATTTTGTCATTTTAACGGTTCTAGAATTTTTCGACGTACTCCCTCTTTTGGAAGATCGAAAAATTGGAAGATATAACAATGGAAAAAATCGGCAAATTTAGCAATCGAAAAATCGAAACATCGAAATCCCTATCAATCGAGAAACCGAAAAATGGAAAATTCTAATAATTGAACATTTTAAAAATCTGAAAAACTGAAAAATTGAACAATCAAAGTACTGCAAATTGATGAAACCGAAAAATATAAAATACAAAATATCGAACAATTAATATATCGAAAAAAAACTTTAAGAATGTAGACGTCTTGTTATTTTTGACAATTTGGAAATATTTGATTTGTTTGAATTTTTGATTTTTTGAAAAATTGAAAAATCCAGGAATTGGAAGATTCCCAAAATTGAAATGTTGGAAAGTCGAGAAATCCAAAAATTAGAAAAGCGAAAAATTGGATTAAAAAATTTAAAAATTTGGACATGGTAATATTAAAAAATAGCAAAATTGTAAAATGTAAAATGTGGGAACTCGAAAAATTGAAAAATCGAAAAATAGAGTGACTGAAAACTTGAAACATTGAAAAATCGAAATAGCCCAAACGAAAAATTAAACATTAAAAAATTAAAAATTGCAAAAAAGATCGAAAAATTGAAAGATATAACAATGGAAAAATCGGCAAATTTAGCAATCGAAACATCGAAATCTCTATCAATCGAGAAACCGAAAAATGGAAAAATCCAAAAATTGAAGATTTTAAAAATCCAAAAAACTGCAAAATTGAACAATCAAAGTAATGAAAATTGATGAAACCGAAAAATATAAAATACAAAATATCGAAAAATTAATATATGGAAAAAACTTTAAGAATGTTGATTGACCATTCATTCGTAAATATTTTTATGATACTAAATCAGGTATGGCTTAAAAAATTTTTCATTGTGTCCCTGACAAGCTAAATTATTAAGAAACATTTTTATGTTAAAAAGAATGTGAGTTTAAAAATTGTGATCACTAGAATGTTAGGACTGACCTGATCTGAATTGACTTGACTTGAATTGATCAGATTTACATTTAAATACATCTATAAGATTTGACGCAGAAAATGAAGTTATCTTATGGCAGTAGATTAACGTGTACAAAAATTAATACCGAATTTTTCGATTTTTTTGTAAATCACCAAAAAACATACGAATTTGAAGCATTTGATGCGTCGGAACTACTCAATCACAAACATGCATTAAAATCAACAATGACTCGACTACAATCAATACTTCATTCAACACGTCAAAAATGCCCCAATTCTTACTCAGCGAGTCATCCCTTTCCTCGTCCCCAGCCACCGCCAGGAGCCGATTCTTCGTAGGAGCGTGTGTCGGGGTTTCGTCAGTTTTCTGCTCCAGCCCTATTTCCATCGACCTCGCTTTGTTCTGCTGCTCCTTCGGAAACTTGACCTCCAGCGGCGCACTCTTGCATCCAAACAGCGTTTTCTTTCCCTTTGATAGATTCCGCGGGTTGTAGAGGTGGGGCGAGGGGGGCGCGTACGCCCGCTGCACCACCCTTATTCCCATGCGGACCGTCGTCTTGCGATGGAACTTCTCGTCGGCGCGATCAGCTGGAATCGAATCTAGGATGAAAGACGATCTACGGTATTGTTAATTTAGTAGTGAGCGAGACGTGACGCGGAGCGAGCGAGCCGTCCAGAAAAACAACTATATGTATTTGAAATAAAAATCCGTCTGATTTTCCAGAATGGAATAATAAGGTTAAATCTGCGGCTGCCTCGGCACGGAACAAAATCTATTTCCCTTTTATGAATAATGCATTAGGGCGGCATTCTATTAAAATGATCCTGTATTCAATATGTCTGCGTGTATACGTATAGGTTACGTATACTATATATAGAGAAATGAATTTCCGCTTCCGTTAATCAAGCTCCTGTCTTGCGAATTTCTCTGTTCGATTCAATTAACAGATAGGAAATCAGACTATGTCAGTTCGATTGAGTGGGAGATGGGTTGTGGTTGCAATCTAATCTGGAATGTGTTCGTGTGACCGACTGGTGACTTTATGGCCCGAGAAAATTTATAATTGCTGATCGTTAAGATGTCAACAGTTTACGGGCCGTCGGTGTGGAATTAATTTATAACAAGTTTCGAGCTTGTTTATATCAACTTATTTCGCAAGAGATTGGGAAAAACTTAGATGAAGTTCCGAGACGGTGGGTTGAAACGGAGTGTGAAAATAAAAAAGTGGGGAAATGAGGGCCGAGATGGTTTAATTACTAGGCGTTTTGTTAAGTAAACACTGCTTTAAATAACTTGGCGGATTTACTTGCAGTTTGTGTAGATTTGAGGGAAGGTGTTTCAACAATGGAGCTATTTTTAGAGGTGGAGACTGGGTATTTGATTAAACAGTGCGCCCGAATTTTTTCATTGTAGTGTACTGGATCCATAACCGGTTGCTAAAATTGAGGTCGTTGAATGTTTTGCGGTAACTCCGCGGTGCGTCGTTTATTCAAAATGTCGCTAAAACTTTTTTGCATTAAACGCTTCTACTTTTACGTGGGTCAAGTCGGTAATTTTTGTCTATTTAAGCGGGTGTATTTTTTCTAGAAATTTTCGGATTTATTGTTCAACAGATTGATACTGTTTTTAACAACTTTAGGTAAATTATGCAAATTTCCAGAATTGCAAAAAATGCTCTTCGAAAAACTGAAAAATCGAACAATTGAAAAATTGAAACATCGAAACGTTGATAAATCTAGAAACTAAGAAATAAAACAATAGTAAAAATCGAAGAATTGGAAAAATTCACAAAATTAAAATGTTGAAAAATTGAGAAATCGAAAACTTGAAAAATGTTAAAAGTCGCAAAATCGAAATACAAAGAAATTGAATAAAAAAATAGAAGAACTTAAAAACAAAAAAATGAAGAATCAAAAACTGAAAATCGAGAAATTACAACATCGAAAAATTGAAAAATTGAAAAATCCGAAAACTGAAGCATCTAAAAACTGAAAATTTGAGAAATTAAAACATTCCAAAAATGAAACATCGAGAAAAGAAATATAAAAAGATCGAGTAATAAAAAAATTGAGAAGTTAAAACATTGAAAAACTGTGAAATTGAAATGGCCCAAAATCGAAAAATCGAAACGTTGAAAGTTAAAAAATCGAAAAGTCAAAAATCGAATCAAAAAATCGTAAAATTGGAAAATGTACAATTTAAAAAAATCGAAATATTGAAAAATCAATACGCCAAAGAATCAGAAGTTCGAAAAAATAAAAATAGAAATATCGAAGAACTGAAAAACCAAAAAATCGAGAAATCGAAGCATTAGAAAATCGAAAATCCGAAAAGTCGAAAAATCAAAAAAGATAATAATTAAAAAATCTAAAATTTAAAAAAGCGGACAATTGAAAAACTGAGAAACTGAAAAATAGAGATATTAAAAAATTCCAAAACTGGAACATCGAGAAATGAAAAATCAAAATTATAATTTAAAATTTGAGAAAAATTGAAAAATAAGAAATATGGAAAAACTGAAAAACAAAGAAATAGAAACATCAAAAAATCGAAAAATTCAAATATTGAAAAATTAAAAATTGCAAAAATAAATAATGGAGAAATCGAAAAATCGAGAAATCGAAGCATCAGAAAATCGAAAATCCGAAAAGTCGAAAAATCAAAAAAGATAAAAATTAAAAAATCTAAAATTTAAAAAAGCGGACAATTGAAAAACTGAGAAACTGAAAAATAGAGATATTAATCAGAGATATTAAAAAATTCCAAAACTGGAACATCGAGAAATAAAAAATCAAAATGTCGAGAAATCGAGAAGTCGAAATATCGAAAAATTGAAAATTCGAAAAATAAAAATTATAATTTAAAATTTGAGAAAAATTGAAAAATAAGAAATATGGAAAAACTGAAAAACAAAGAAATAGAAACATCAAAAAATCGAAAAATTCAAATATTGAAAAATTAAAAATTGCAAAAATAAATAATCGAGAAATCGAAAAATCGAGAAATCGAAGCATCAGAAAATCGAAAATCCGAAAAGTCGAAAAATCAAAAAAGATAAAAATTAAAAAATCTAAAATTTAAAAAAGCGGACAATTGAAAAACTGAGAAACTGAAAAATAGAGATATTAATCAGAGATATTAAAAAATTCCAAAACTGGAACATCGAGAAGTAAAAAATCAAAATGTCGAGAAATGGAGAAGTCGAGATCGAAAAATTGAAAATTCGAAAAATAAAAATTATAATTTAAAATTTGAGAAAAATTGAAAAATAAGAAATATGGAAAAACTGAAAAACAGGAACAGAAACATCAAAAAATCGAAAAATTCAAATATTGAAAAATTAAAAATTGCAAAAATAAATAATCGAGAAATCGAAAAATCGAGAAATCGAAGCATCAGAAAATCGAAAATCCGAAAAGTTGAAGAGTCAAAAAAGATAAAAATTGAAAAATCTAAAATTTAAAAAAGCGAACAATTGAAAAACTGAGAAACTGAAAAATAGAGAAATTAAAAAATTCCAAAACTGGAACATCGAGAAAAGAAAAATCAAAATGTCGAGAAATCCAGAAGTCGAAATATCGAAAGATTAAAAAATCGAAAAATAAAAACTATAATTTAAAATTTGGGAATAATTGAAAAATAGAAATATGGAAAAACTGAAAAATGAAGAAATCGAAAATAAATAATCGGGAAATCGAAAAATCGAACTTGAAGAAAAATTGAATAATCGAAAAATTGAAAAATCCCAAAACTGGAACATTGGAAAATTGAGAAATCGATTATTTAATAAATCGGAAATTCGAAAAATCTAAAATTTAAAAAAAAGAAAAACTGAAGAATGGAAAAATTGAAAAATTGAAAAACTTAAAAATTGGTTATTCCAGAAATTGAGAAATCGAAAAACCCGGAATTTAGGAACTTCAAAAATTGAAAAATACTTAGAACAATTTAACAATCGAAAAATTGCAAAATCGAAAAAAACCGAAACGTCGATAAATCGAGAAATTGAAAAATGGAAAATTCCAAAAATTGAAAACCGAAAGAGTAAAAAATCCAGAAATAGAAAAATCTGAAATTCTGAAAACTGAAAATTTACAAATAAAACACCCAAAATCGAAGAGTCAAAAGATTGAAGAATCGAAATATTCAAAAATCTCAAAACTGAAACATTGAAAAATTGAGAAATCGATTATTCAATAAATCGAAAAGTTGAAGAATTAAAAAACTGAAAAATTGAGAAATGGAGAAATCGAAAAGTCGAAAAACCAGAAAATCGATTATTGAAAAAATTGAGAAATCAAAAAATCCTAACTTTAAAAATGTTAAAAATAGAAAAATAGAACAATTTAAAAATCGAAAAATTGAGAAATCGAAATAGCCCAAAATCGACAAATCGAAAATTAAAAATTAAAGACTTAAAAATAACAAAATCGATAATTTGAAAAATTGCAAAATTGAAAAAAAAAATCGTGCTATCGAAATGTGGATAAATCGAAAAATCGAATAATTATAAAACCGAAAAATCTAAAACTGAGATGTCGAAAAATCGGAGGAATCGATACATCAAAGAACTGAAAAAATCGAAAAAGTAAAAATCCAAAAATCGAAAAATTGAAAAGTCAAAAGATTGAAGAATCGAAATATCGAAAAATCCCAAAACTGAAATATCGAAAAATTGAAAAATCGAACAAAAATTTAAGAACCGAAAAATTCGAAAGAAGAAAAACTGAGAAATTGATTATTCAACAAATTGAGAAATGAAAAAATCCGAAATTAGAAACGTCAAAAAATAGAACAATCTAAAAATCGAAAAATCAAAAAACCGAAAAATCTAAAACCTAGAAGTTGAAAAATCGGAGATATCGAGACATTAAAAAACTGAAAAATATGAAATTTTAAAAATCGAAAATTTGAAAATCAAAAATCGAAACATTATAAAACTGAGAAATCGAAGGAATAGAGAAACCAAGAAGTCGAGAAATTGAAAACGAAAAACCAAAAAATCGATTATTCAATAAACTAAGAAATCGAAAAATTGAAGTCGAAGAAAAATTGAATAATCGAAAAATTGAAAAATCCCAAAACTGAAACATTAAAAAATTGAGAAATCGATTATTCAATAAATCGGAAATTCGAAAAGTCTGAAATTAAAAAAAAAAAAAACTGAAGAATGGAAAAATTGAAAAACTGAAAAATTGCTTATTCCAGAAATTGAGAAATCGAAAAATCCGGAATTTAGGAACGTCATAAATTGAAAAATACTTACAACAATTTAACAATCGAAAAATTGAGAAGTTGAAATAGACCAGAATCAAAAATCGAGTTAAAAATTGAAAACTCAAAAATTTAAAATAAAAAAAATCGATAAATTGAAAAATTGTAAAATCGAAAAAAAAAACCGAAACGTCGATAAATCGAGAAATCGAAAAATCGAAAATTCCTAGAATTGGAAAATCGAAAAAGTAAAAATTGAGAAATCGAAAAATCTGAAATTCTGAAAACTGAAAATTTATAAATAAAAAACCAAAAATCGAAAAGTCAAAAGATTGAAGAATCGAAATATTCAAAAATCGCAAAATTGAAACAT